CTGGTTTTTCATTTTTAAGTTAAAAACATTATCGTCTTTACTTATTTCTTCTATATGCGGGGGTCCTATCGGACTCCACACAACAAAATAACATTTTTCCTTTTTTCTTATCTGAAGTTGCCCTTGAATTTGGTAAAAATAATTATGGTTTGTTTTTAATTTTAATTCGCCGTTTCGATGTTGAAAAATATTAATTTTTTTGGTACGGATGCCATGTTCTATAGATATATTTCTTAAATTATATGGGCATTTAACTTCTATAATGGAATTGTTGCTATGGATTACCCCATCTGGACTGGCTCCTAAAAAATAAAAGTCTCCTTGACCTACATATAAACCACATGGATCTACATGTAGGCCAGAAATATTTTGAAAAGCTTCTATTGCTGCGTTTTCATATTGACAACCATATTCGGTGGCTTTGTTTCCTCGAAAACTATTTGCCAATAGGCATTTTAAAAGATTGTTCGGTGGTGTTGATGCTTTTCTTTTGCCCACTACTCCAAAATTGGAAGCTGTTAATCTATATAACCTTTCTTGTCTCCAACAAGGATTGCTATATTGACCTCTAGTTCGTACTTCTATTATATCTGCTTCTTCTTTTGTTTTTTTCAATAAATTGAATATAACTTCTTTTCTTCTAGCAATTTCTTCTTGTGGTGGTAATTCAACATCTCCATAGCCGCTGTCCGCTTNACTGCCCCTCTCTGACCGACCTCAGAATGAGGACCTTCGGGGAGGAATGGCCGACCACAGATGACATCAGGAATGCACCTCTAGGAGCCGTCCTAGCCTTTGGTAAATCCTTAGGCTGGTTGATGTGACCAGAGTGTGTAATGGGAGGATGCACAAGGGGCCCAATGGGGCCTAAGTGTGGCGTGCGGTTTTGCATGCACTCCCCAATCCATACATACATACATACATAAGTTTGTATTATATGTTTCGTTAATTTACATCACCACTGAGCAGTCGAAATCTTTTCCTTCTTTTACTTAAATGTATTTTTCACGTACATCATGTTTGTTATTTTTATTCAACTGTCAATATAATTGAATTTGTAAGAAAAGTATCATAACATTTAGGTTTTGAATCGAGACAGGTGGATCGGACTTCATTTAACCGTGGTAATTTAATACTAATAAAAACTGCTGAATTTACATTTTATACGACAATAACACCTTTCTGAGCTTCAACCGGACACTCCATATCCAATTAAGTGTGCGAAACGTCTTAAAAAGTGTTCTTGGTCGTCCGTGGTACTTGAGTTGGAGGCTGGATTCATAATTTATTTACCAAGACGCATTGCTGAAGATATTACTGACGAAGAAATCATCGAACTCAGGAAAATGTGTATAATATATAAGAGTGCAAAAGACATTGGTAAAACTCACCCTGTATATTTATTGGATTTCTTCAAGAAACCTGAAACGTAAAAAATTTATATATAAATTTCTTAAACCATAATTGTATCATAAAATTTGTTTTCAAAATTAAATAATAAATGTATTAACATATAATTGTTGTTTATATTTTTCTACCAAAATTTTTTTTCCATAAATTTTAAAATTTCGCGCGCCATCTATCACCCATCAGACAATTTTAAATTTTAAAAATATAACAGCGCAATCTATCACTCATCAGGTAAATTTAAATTTTAAAAATATAACAGCGCCATTTATCGCCCATCATTCAAATTTAAATTTTAAAAATATCTCAGCGCCATCTATCGTCCGATGGTTAGCAATTTCTGGTCCATCTTAAAAATATGACAGCGCTATCTATCGAGGCAAACCACCCCTTTTTAATTTTACTACACACCACCAGATGGCGCCACATGAATTTTGAATTTCAAATTTCCCGCCAAATGTCACATTTTCAGCGCTATGACGTCACTTCCGGCGCATGCGCAGAAGCCTAGCGATTGGGGGATTCACTTCTGCTCCAGAACTTACTTATTACATTAATAATATTCAATGTTCTGTTGTTCAATATTCAACTTTCTTATTGCCAAAATGTTTGGCAAGGCGGGCGGAATGTTTGAATTTTTACAATTCGTTTTAATATATACCTCAAGTTATTAAGCTTTTTGAGTTTCAAGTAAAGTCTCAGAACATCTTCATTTTAATTCGTTAAGTATAATACTTTCATTCTTTGAACTATTTTAAACAGACGTCCGATATAAAAAACCGAGCCTATAGAGAAAGATTGCTGTACGCAATTGCATTCGTCACTAATCTCAGTGAAGAACTGTATTAACTATATTAGGTCTAACCTTGGGGCAAAGTAACATTATTTACCCTGTAATAATAGATCCATTAGACAATATTAGAACAAATTAAAAATTTAATGATAAATTTGAACTACCGACTATTAATGATTTAATAGCATTTGAAGCACTTTGCGATATTGAGTATTACATTAAAAATGGCGTGGTAATTTTTTAATATCTATACCTTTAATAACTCGAGATTTTTATGTAAATTATGAAATTTATAATGTACCAATAATATCAAATAAGAAAGAAATGTATAAAATCCAGCAAACTGTTTATAAAGTCGCACTGAATGAAAATCGATATGTAATACCTGATAACTGTAAGAACTATCTAAATAATACTCTTTGTAACTATAAAACTAAATACAAAGTTACCAACGCAACTTTTTGTGAAATAAAATTACCCACATTTGGAAAATTGTCTCAAAGAAATTGATGAAATTCATCAATCTAAAGTATTAAGTATTAATGATCTTACCTTTGTAATCAAACGCCTCTGCTTTTCTATTGGTCGAGATCAGTTGCTAAAAATTTTTTTTTATCGTCAGTCACAAAACAGATGTAAAAAAGAAATGTCTTATAATTATTATAATATTGAATGTTTTTATCGCGTAATCCAAAACTTCTGAATTTAAAAAATTTTATTTTAAAACCTTTGAAAAATTTGAATAACTTGATAGTAATTAATCATACCTAATACTATTAAATATGTATATGTATTTTCATTCTCGTACTTTTATGATACGAAGAAGATAAACATAAGAACCAAATGTCATAAATATTCAGGTATAGTTAAAGAAATCAAGAAAAACTACAACAATAACATTATAATGGTTGTTTAATGATTTCATTTAACATTTCATTTGTAAAAAATAATTGTAACTGGTTTTTCATTTTTAAGTTAAAAACATTATCGTCTTTACTTATTTCTTCTATATGCGGGGGTCCTATCGGACTCCACACAACAAAATAACATTTTTCCTTTTTTGTTATCTGAAGTTGCCCTTGAATTTGGTAAAAATAATTATGGTTTGTTTTTAATTTTAATTCGCCGTTTCGATGTTGAAAAATATTAATTTTTTTGGTACGGATGCCATGTTCTATAGATATATTTCTTAAATTATATGGGCATTTAACTTCTATAATGGAATTGTTGCTATGGATTACCCCATCTGGACTGGCTCCTAAAAAATAAAAGTCTCCTTGACCTACATATAAACCACATGGATCTACATGTAGGCCAGAAATATTTTGAAAAGCTTCTATTGCTGCGTTTTCATATTGACAACCATATTCGGTGGCTTTGTTTCCTCGAAAACTATTTCCTAATAGGCATTTTAAAAGATTGTTCGGTGGTGCTGATGCTTTTCTTTTGCACACTACTCCAAAACTTGAAGCTGTTAATCTATACAACCTTTCTTGTCTTCAACAAGGATTACTATATTGACCTCTAGTTCGTACTTCTATTATATCTGCTTCTTCTTTTGTTTCTTTCAATAAATTGAACATAACTTCTTTTCTTCTATGAATTTCTTCTTGTGGTGGTAATTCAACAACATCTCCAGAGTCGCTGGCCGCTTGTAGTGCAACTGGTCGGCCCTATTACGTTTTTTCCCTTGCTGCGTCTTTCGCCGTTTCATCAACATTTTATATTTTTGTTCACAACACTTTTCAGTGTAGTGTCCTAATTTCTTTCCCATATTTTCTGCAATTTTCTTTAAATAATGCTCTCGACAATTGAACAGAATTGCTGCAATGTGGCACCGTAGTTGCTGGAATCCCCCTAAAGAGAAATTGATCTGCAAAACTGAACATTAAAAAAGGAAAATACTAATGATATTTACATACTCGTTTACCACCAATAAATTTATTTACTAAACTATTGAACTCCTCGGCGCTATTATTATTTTTATTCAGCAAACAGGATGAAGAATTAGATATAATTCGTTGCAAACAGGTGTTGATATCTGCTTCTAAACCGCATTCCTTTACGTTTGCAAATATATTATCTACGCCATTTACTTTATTACAAAAGTATTGGGCACAGTTTTGGTGGTCTCCAAATATATGGGATTGAATATTTGATAAATCTTTTTGAAATAATAAAAGTTTTTGTTCATATGGAACATTTTGTCCATTTCTATATTCGGCAGATTTTTTTATAGCTACCCGAAATCTTAATACACTGGTGGATAGCTTTCTACGAAGTTGTAGTGGAACGAATTTTCCACTAGTGCTACGCACTTTTTTAGAAAGTTCAACCAATTTATTGCTAAAATTCCGTAATAAATGATTGATGCATTCTACTTTTTCTATTAAACATGTCCCATAGGGTTTAACGGAATTTAACTTTTTTGTGACACTACTGTCCCCGTCACCTATTAATTTTATATATTTCAGGCCATGTACACCCACGCTATGTTGGAATCCCTCAAGAATAATGTCCGATTCCATTGCGGTGGATGGGCCAGACCAATTTTTAAAACATTTGTGTGTACGTCGGTTGGTAGAATGTTCTGTGCAAATCCTGCAATATCTATTGCGTACTCCTATGTGCAGAATTTTTTTTGTTGCTTCTCCTATGATCACACCCACGCCTGATGCTGCGTTATAATTCGTTCGATATGAACGCTTTGACCAGGCACCATCGGACACAACACTAACAAGAGCAACGCCATGATCATCTACATCACCCTTTCCTTTTGCAATGGCAACTTCCTCTTCTCCGGCGTCCTTTAATTGTTTTGAAACAACAGTTTCAACTACCTCTAGTAAGTTTGTATGAATATTGTTATATCGACGCTGCGTCATATTAGGAATATTTAACATAGAAAAAAAATCTTTCAGCTGGGAATATCCTGCACCAATTGACACTATTCCTGTTAGAATATGTGAAATATTAAAATATTTACATACAGTTCGCGTCGCAATTTATTTTTATTGTGTAAATACAGTCTTACCGATTACTGCTGAAGTATTCACATTTAATTCGTCTTTATTGCCATTTGTGTGTACTTCAGATTCCATTCCGCACATTTGACATTTAATTGTAAAAATAGATTCATAACCAATTTGGCGTTCGGCTACAATGTCGCATAAGTCTATTGTGCAATTAAAAGCGGGTGCGTGTTTAATATCTTTTATTTGCCTCCAAAATGATGCAATATCAATTATTCTTCTACCAGTAAAGTTTTGAAAGTGTACTGCTTGTGATTGTGGTTCTTCCATTCTGTAAAAACAGTCGTAGTATTGAGTAATTTATCATTACAAAATTTTATCTGAATTCAGTTTTCGATACATGCTGTAAAGCACATATCATACGTTGTATTAAATACGTTTCCAAAAACTAAAGATATTTAGGAAAAAAATAATTCTTTTTTAAAAAACCTTACAATATAATGTTTATTGCCTTTGATATTTACCGACTTTGAGATTAATTCATTAAAATTTTGGGAAATAATATATACATACCCTAAATCAACAGAAATCTCATCTAACGAACGGTCTGTGGTTACATTATGGGAAACAGTTTTTCTGCAAGTACGAATAAATAAAAAGAATTAAATATTTATATAAATAACATGTTTGTCACAATTATTCTTGAATAGTTTAAAAGCTCATGTTTTATCTGATAACTAATATTTTTAAATTGTGTCAAATTGGGTAATATTTAAAGTGGANTCTTATCTGAAGTTGCCCTTGAATTTGGTAAAAATAATTATGGTTTGTTTTTAATTTTAATTCGCCGTTTCGATGTTGAAAAATATTAATTTTTTTGGTACGGATGCCATGTTCTATAGATATATTTCTTAAATTATATGGGCATTTAACTTCTATAATGGAATTGTTGCTATGGATTACCCCATCTGGACTGGCTCCTAAAAAATAAAAGTCTCCTTGACCTACATATAAACCACATGGATCTACATGTAGGCCAGAAATATTTTGAAAAGCTTCTATTGCTGCGTTTTCATATTGACAACCATATTCGGTGGCTTTGTTTCCTCGAAAACTATTTGCCAATAGGCATTTTAAAAGATTGTTCGGTGGT